AGTTATTTAGTATTATAAGAAGAGGAAGGGAGGACGATATACGTATACTAATATTATATATATATATATATATATATATATATATATATCGGAGGGATAAGCACTTAGCATCAAGACGTTTTTTTGAGAAAGATATAGCATACTAAATTGTGAACTTATAATAGGTACAACAATCAGTTTCTGTACAGATAAAATTATTAACAGTTAATTTTTAGCACAGTATATGTAACTTCATGCCATGTGTGGATTAAAATGCTATTAATAACAACTCCTTGTAACATTTACATATGCAGATACTGTCTCTAGATTCAGAGACTCCTATAATGTACATTGCAATTTCTTTTACCTTTTACTCATGTAAAAATCAAAAGAAAGTCTCAAATCCCAAATGTCTGTGGAAATTTGTCACAAGTGTATCTGTGCAAAAGTCTCATCTAGCTTGGTCAAGATATAGAGGAATCGAAGGCCCAAAATACTAATCTTCTGACATATTTTTACCTTTGATACATATAGAATTGCAAGAAAGGCACAAAGCCTAAAATCTATCTTTTTCACTTTGTGAATTGTTGGAGGGTATCATTGTTGAAAGTATGATATAGACTGGTCCAAATATAAAGAAATGGTATGCTTAAAGCCATTCCACACTAACCTACACATCATATTCAGTTTTTCAAATATAAAAATATATCTGAATTTTGCAAATATGAAATGTCTTGAAGACTGATCCACTCTTAGCTTGTATATAACCCTGACAAAAGAGGGTTTACTGTGAGAAGTTGGTACCAGCCAGTAAGAGAAAGTATGGATAATTCTTGAATAAAATAGAGAAAATGGGATGCCTACAGAAAATTTACCCTTCTCACACTAGGTGAAATTCAAGATTTTGTTAAATATTGCCTTATAAAAATAAGAACTTAAAACTTATATACTATTAAAATATGGATTATTAGCTACAAGTTTATGCTATACTAATTGGTACAAAATAGACAAAAAAAGTAGTTTAATACAATTTTGAATGTAAGCCACTAAAACCTTGTGACATGCAGAGTAAATGATGCCTGGGCAGATAGGGTTAAAGAACTATGCAATTTTCAAAGAGTAAAAAAACAATTGTGAAAACTTGTCTCAACAAGTTTAAATTCTCCAAATGTCCTTCTGAATTCACAAATTCTCTTGATGATATCTACCTGTACATTCCAGGAATCCCATCTTACAATGGAAATAACAGTGGTGGGTTGGTTTGAATGTCGTCATGACAGTTGTGATTTTCAGCAGATGTATCCCCTGTCAAATGACACTGAATTGCAACATACACACACATGTGATTGATCTAGTGAGAAATCAATGGGAGACTTACAAAATATGAAGAGACTCGTATGTTAGAAGAGCTGTATATTTAAATCTGTTCAGTTGCTCTCAACTTTCTGAAGTATTGCTTTGTGAGGCAAAAGCAGACAGAGTTAGGAAGAAGACATGACTGAATTCACCCAAGCTGACTCTACCATAGCCATATTGCACATGAGTCTGCTGAAGCCTACACCTGTATTTTTCAAGATGGAGTCCAGTCTGACCATTGACATCAAAAACAACTGACTCTATACACTTTCATAGCCTGGTTAAGGTGAAGTGTTTTTTCCACACGTTGTCACCAGTAGCTATAGATGCCTTGAAAAAACTACAATCATAGTTTTCATGGATAAGATTTTTTTTTCTGTCAAGCCTGAAGGTATTGAAAAATTTAAGTTTGGATCGATTAACCAGGAAGTCATTTAAAAAACACGTTTATCAGAACTGTTATGCAGCCTCTGTCAGAAAAATATAGCATAAAATTTGCTGGAACTGTAGTTCTACCAGCCATTATAAGGGGCCACTGGATGCAATTGACATAGCACTAAAACACCTTAGTACAGATGATGTGAAAACCAGGTGATGCATCTTTAACAATGTCCATGATTTTCACCAAACAGTTAAAGGTTGTGCTACATCAGTGAACTTGGAACATGCATTTAAAGAAAAAATACCAATCAGAGGAATTGTTACTTTCACTGCAATGAGCTGATAAGAACAGAGTATTTCACTTGTTTGCTGAAAGAGCCGCTTAAACAGAAAATTTCCGCCTGGTCTCTGGAGTTAGAAAAATGAATGATGAAAAATGAGTCAAATGGTTACTTTGAGGTTCTGGAGAAAATACTAAGATATTGTGTACATCTGTATGGCTCAATATATTTGACTTTACATAATAAAAGTACTTAAGTTTATCTTTTTAAAATAAATCAGAAAAAACACTTATTGTACATAGGCCTCTGTTGTTTTTCTTTGAGCTGTTAGAACTAGGTGATAACCTGTATAATTGGACATTTCATTCTAAAAATTATTGGCAGCCAGCTCAGAATGTTACTTGTCAGATGCCATATCCTAAATAAATTGATAAAAGAGAGCAACTCACATTTATAGAAGACAGTTTATAGCCAAAAACTGAGCCATAAGCATGTCTGGAATCAAAATTGTTTAACTTAATTAATTAACTGTGTTTGCATTAATCCTTGGACTAATTAAGTTATGATATTCAATTAATCGATAATTCTCAATTGCAAAAATTTAATTTCATTAAGGTATTTACAAAATGAATGGTTTTGCCTTTTTTTTTTAAACATATAAAAACATGAAATTAGTTAAGATGGTAATATAACTGGATCCAATTGATAGCAAATGGTATAAAACTAAGTTGGGAGTTGAAATTTTAAATGGAATTTAGAAAATAAATTGTGGTTTTTAGTTCTAAAAGAAATTGGTAAATTACTATTTGTAAATGTAAAATGTTAGAAAAATCAAAATCTAACATAGCTACACAATGGGCTATCTATGCTCTGTCCACTTGGATTTTAGCATTGTAGGTCAAGAAACCTACTGGTGAACCACGGGGGGGAACTTGTTTTTCTTTTATAATGATAGTTAAGTTATCAGGCCCTGAAAATAGTGCAAAACATAAAAGTGTGTACTAATAGTATTTCACTGAAATAAGTCTTTCAGTATGTCCTGTTCAAGATTCTGATAGGTGACTAGTTGGTAAAGTAGAGAATTTTTTTATAACATTCAAATCTTGTATACTAAAGAGATGAAAAAGTTGAAGTCATCATTTAAATGAAGATGCATATTAGATATGTTGTGATGTTCTCTTAAAGGTCTGACTAGAGACACAGAACAATCACTAAGTTTCAGTGCAAGAGAAATTTGAGTGAGAAATATTCCAAAGGTGATGGCAGTAGCATCTGATGTATCCATCTTAATATGGACTATAATTACTGTAAGCCACACTGTTGTTAATGCTTCATTATAATAGTTACACCATCCAGTTGCTTCGGTAAATGTCAAGATTCTTACACTTACCACTTGTGAAGAAGTGAGAATGAGGAAAATCATAAAACCACCATGAAAAATAGTTTGATATTTCTGTTCAGCTATCTTGTTACTAGAAGTATAATTTTTCTAATCATGTCCAACTTGTTCAAGACCAAATTTAAAACAAACTTAGCATTTAAAATAATACAAAAATACTGTGTGAGCACCCATAAGAATCTTGGTCAGAATGCTAAGGAGAATTGATTACAGAAAGGATAAAAAACTATTTGTGTGCACTTTTAAACTTAGTATGCCACCTGACTATTGGCATAGAACACCATGATACGAAGTATATATCAGTATTTGTACACAGTGTGTATTATTCTGTGGCATTAAATGTGTAGATTGATGTTTTTTTGTGTCACTGACCTAAGTCATATAGTAACTTCAGCATATTCATTGTACATATCATTGTTCTTTAGTGCTGTAATGTTTTGCATGTTTAATTGGATTGAGCAAAAGAAATGTATACATTTTCAAGTGGCACATCCTATGCTCATGCAGTAATACATGTACATGTTGTAGTACTCTATTGGTAGTAAATTTCTAGAAAAGTATTTGAAACGTAAGGCTAAATGAAAAGTATTATTATTACTACATGAACCCTATTACAGTTGCAAGTTTCATGATATATACAGTTCATAGTAAAAGTTCTGTACTGTGAAAATTGTGGGCAGTGGATTGAGAAATGTTAAAGCAACATTTTTCATTTATTCAGTGTAGTTCAAAGATTGTGTTCATCATTTCATAAAAGCAGAATGTTCCTATTTCTTTAATAATGAATTGTTTTGCATGTTTAATTGGATTTAACAGTAGAAATGTATACATTTTCAAGTGGCACATCCTATTCTCATGCAGTAATACATGTACGTGTTGTAGTACTCAATTGTTCCTATTTAAAGTATGAAATTTTATTATTCAGTTAAGAATTTCATACAACCATAATTTATTTTATTTATATTTTACTTTAAGAAATGTTTAACACATACACACACACAAAAAAAGTACAGTGTTTTCTTTCTTGATTAGCTTTGTGATTTTGTCCTACAGGTGGTGATGGTGAAAGCTAAGACTTTCAGGAGTGTCATTATGATAATAAGCCCACTGCTGTTGTAGCAATCAATTGTAGTTTTGAGATCATCTCATAATAATGCTAAATAATTTCAACCTAATGTGAATGATGCATATTTTGTGTTTATTAATAACATTTATGGTGAAAGAATATTTATTTTTCTGTTAGTAATTTACAAGATAAGTTATTTAACATCTTTACACAGTATTTATTTTTTGATTAGATAAACACTACCTCTTTTTTTTAATGTGATAATCTGTCATATAGTAGTTATATCTTATTTTAAAATGTCTTTGTTTTGTTTATTCTATACTTGAAGTTTTACTCCCATATGATACAAATTTTTAGTCTTAAGAAATATACTGAAACTCCTCAATGTACATATCTATATCTCTAAATATATAAAATGTTTTTATTACCTTTTAGTTTAGGTGCTGTGGTATTTCAGATAAAGGATATAAAGATTGGTCTCAAAACCAGTATTTCAATTGCTCAGCTGAAAACCCTAGTCCTGAAAGATGTGCTGTGCCATATTCATGCTGTAGAGAAAATGCAAATAGTAAAGTAAGATGGATTTTTTAATTTTTTTTATTCTAACTAAGTGGGTTAATAATATTCATTTGTTTCTTCATGTTGAAGGAAAAAAACAATTTTACAATTGTTACATTTTTTAATCATGTCCTACTTTTTTGTGCTTCATGTTATATTTCAAAACCCA